AAAAGATATGAAAGAGATGAACAGATTTCATTTACAATCTCCAACAATTTCATATTATTATTTTCTTCAGTATTATTAATTATAATTTAAGAAAAACTGGGTGTATCAAATATAGAGAAAATCTCATCTGTGCAAATTTGCACATTTATTAAGTACAATCACGTTTGAAATATCTATACACCATCTATACCTTCTTTGCCTCAGAATTACACTTTCAATTCTCCAGAAAATTCGAATTTTCTAAAAAAAATAGAAAAGACACGAACAAAACCTCATTTGTGATCCAAAAAAAATTCCTTTTAGTCCCAACTCAAAGTGAACTGAGTCTGTCAACCAAGATCTGTCGAACCTAACAAAAAAACCAGACTTGACACCAATTTCACAAGAAACTCTCCTACCCTTACAAATTTCCATATGTATTACTTACAATCACGCTTGAAGTATCACCGTACCCATATCCCATACTTAATCATCCGCATTTCCCCCAGAAAAAACGGCACACCCCTTCGCCTCGAGGATTGCAATTCAAATTTCGCTAATATTTCACGAAACTAATCGGCAAGATCGCTCTCATGAGAAATACGACGAACTTAATGATACAGCGCACGGGTCGGGATCGTGCGCAGAGTGAAAAACGAGACTGCGCTATCGATACCCGGCCGCGATAGAGAATGGTAGGTGGAAAGGTACGGGTTTACGTTGACCCGGTTACAAATTACCCACGATCGAACCGGTGCTGCATTTTGCCGGGTCAACGCGCTCCGCTTGACTCCTCGGTATTTCCACGGCAATGCCGCCGGATTAAGTCATCCCGACGTTACTTTCATATCGCTTTTAATCAAGCAACAACGCTCCTTCTCCGCCCGTGCCTAGCGCCGCTGTCTTCATTTGCATTCAACCGAGATTATTCCGGCTTTTGCTCACGTTCACGCGACACGTCGCGGCGCCTGGTTCTTCCCTGAGAGAGAAACTTGACGAACGAGCTTGGCACAGTTTTATCGGGACAGTTTTTGTCGTTCGTAGTTTTACCTAGGTGATTCGTATCGGAATTCTTCAGATTAGTGATTATTATCACTTTGGGAGGAATTATTTTTGGAGCACGGAACTAATGATCGATAGGTTTGAAGTATATATTAGGTCATTCTAAGTGTTTTTGTGGGTTTATCGAGTTTCACTTTTTTCGGTTACTTGACGATTTCGGAAACACGATGTTGGTTTATTTCTAACACCCTGTAGAAATAATCAAGCGAGGACAAAAATGTCTCCGCGCTCTTTTAGACAAAGACATTGAGACTTCCACCAGATGTGTCTGGTGTTCGTCTTCGGGTCAAGCACTGCACACTGCAATGCAATAGGATAAACAGTTCGTAGGTACACTTCGTTCAAAATAAGAATAACCTCGCTCTCGAACCGATTTTCGTCCGTTCTGCGCATAGACAGAGAGCGTAGCAGAGGGTAAGACGGAGAAAAACGTAGGAGCTTAAGTGGGGGTTTGGACGTTCTAGTGGTTCTAGCCCTGCCTTAGGCACGTCCCATGCGCGAAACGAGGTTATTCTTATTTTGAACGGACAGTATAAGCGGACCCCAGCTTTCCCTTTTTGGGTGTCCAGAGACAGTTCGATAGAGCATCTGAAAGATTAAAGACGTTTCCTCTGAGTCGAAGTATAAACAGAATATTAGCAGTTGCAAAGACTATTTTATCTCAATAACCCATTTCCAATAGAATCTACTATCGATTGTCACATTTTTCGATTACTTTACGTTTTTCTGTAGTTTGTTTTTCTTGGAGATTCGGATTTTTGTGTAGGGTAACTCGAGGAGTGATGGATCGCTATTTTTAAAGGTAGAATTTCGTTTGTAATTTTTTCCCGACTGGATTCGCATAATTGATTCGAAGCCACCGAGTTTCTATCGCGATGGTATTCGCAAGCTGTCAAAAATCGCGAAAGGTCGTTGGCAATAATGAAAATTATTTCGATGAGTGACCTGTATTCATTCTTTCTTAATAAAATTTCGATTGCACCCGAAAGTCGGAAAGAATTCATTTCTACGCTTAATAGTTGAGTAACAAGTAGAGGGTTTTGCTTAATAGTATTTTAACACTAACCGTACCACGCCCCGGTCAAATGACCGGTTTTAAAATTTCAATTTAAAACCATGCACCTTGTATGTATTTTCTTAAATATAAAAATATGTAATTTTTTTTTTTATTATTATCTAAAAGCTGTTTCCTATATTAAATTGACAACCACCTGCGTTCCTTTCGGAAGAAATATGATTGTTTCGTAACCGGTCATTTGCCCGGATAAGTGTCGATACGGTTAGCGTTAAACGAACTTACAGCAATAATGTTTAACGATACAACGTTGGTGTAGCAAAATATTTCATTATTGCCACTTGACACTCACAGGAGCGACAATCTGAACGTAATCAGTCAAGATCGATACCTCGTCCTGTTTCATTTTTCGCACAAGTACCCAACACCAAAAATGTTAAAAATCGAAAACTGAAAAACTGCCCTACCAACCGCGGGATCTCCCCATGAATAGTCGATGAACCACAGAAGATGAGTAACAGGTTAAACACGGAACCAAACACTTGCGTCACTCCCTTGTGACTTAACATCCGAACAATTATTACAGCCAATTAAAAGAAAAAAACAAAAAAAATGACACCATTCATAATTGATCGATTGCACATTATGTTACTCGATCGATAAGGTATTAAGCTATCGTGTGAACTTCTTTTCTCCATCGTTTCCTTTTTTATCGTACATCCGATAAGGATGATAACGCCACCAAGTGCTGCAAGATCAGTCGCGCGCTGTATCGTAACCGGGTCTGATCACCTTTTACCTTCGGAGTGTTTCCTCGGTGCTTCTCCTTTTCGTTCTACACCCGCGATCGTCATGGAAATTCTTCATATGAAAAAGTGGGATGTTATCGAGGAATACTCGAGGGATATACCGCAATTCTTCAGTCAAGTGAGTAGCGGCACGAGAATTTAACCCGCTATTAACGTTCACGCCTTTTACGTAAGCCACTTGTCGCGCGAGCTTCTCTTGCACACGCGAATCTATCGATCCCTTTGGGCGTGTAAAGGTACGTCGATCTCGCGTCGATCGCGATCCTCGAACACGATTTAATTTAGTTTTTTCGACATGCTATCGAGGCGAAGCTTCGATTAAAATACACGGAAAATTAAGTCGATGAAAGTAAGGTATTGACTCATCAACGAGCTTATCACCTCATTGTCCGATTTTATCGTTGAATCAAATTGCTTAGTTTCCGTGTGTGTGTTTATTTGTAGCGCGATAGATAGAACGAAGGAAGGAGCGACGGGGACAACAGTTTCACGCGAGTGAAACAGATACAATTATTGCGGGCAATTACGAATGGTTCAGCGGGAAGAATAGGATGCTAATTAGTCGGCGGCAACACGGTTTCTCGAGAAAGAGCATAAAGAACCGTCGATTAACCCCGATGCAATTTTCTTAGAATTTTCTCGTCTGTGACTCTCTAGTCGTAGTTGTTGATCTATTGTTCTCTCCTAGGGAAAATTGTGCACCGCCGCCTCGTCTCTCTTTCTCTACGATCGTGGCTGAATTCTTGAAAAGCAGCCGCGAAGGAGACTTTTATTGCAGACAACCTAGATATCGTGGAAAGAGACGCGAGAGGTCGGTTAGCGATAAAGAGCTTTTCCCTCTTTTCCCACGTGTGCGATGCATCGAGTGATTAAACGTCGCCAACAAGTGGCTGTGTGCACGAGTTGAAATGATTTTTCCTTGAACGATTTGCTTTAGTTCCGTTATCGGTACGGATTTCGTAGAAACAACACTTGCAACCGGCTCTATCTGATGCTTGTTGGAACAATCGAACGGAGGTGTGGGTGAAGTATCGCGAGTTACGATTTGTCGTAGCTGGGAAATTTCTGAATCGAAGATTTAAGTCAAATCGAAAATTAAGTCATTGAGAGTTTGAATTGTGTTTCTGTGAATTCTGGATTCTGCGTTTTTAGAGATTTTAAGAATATTTTGTAGAGGATTTGAAGATTGAATCTTCGAGAGCTTGAATCATTTTCCTGGAATCTTAGATTCTGCGTTTTTCAAGGTTTTAAGAATCTTTTATGGAGGATTTGAAGATTGAAGCTTCGAGAAGTTGAATCATTTTCCTGGAGTCCTAGATCTTGCATAGATTCTGAGAATCTTTTATAGAAGACTCGAAGATTTCGAGACTCCTTTAGAAGACCTGCAAAATTAAATCCTCGAGAGTTTGAATCGTTTTCCTGGAATCCTGGATCCTGCATTTGTCAAGATTCTAAGAATCTCTTATAGAAGACTCGAAGAATTTTATCTTCCTGAATTCAAGATTCCGAGACTCCTTTAGAAGACCTGCAAAATTAACCTCTCGAGAATTTAAATCAATTTCCTGAAACCTGGATTTTGCATTTTTCAAGATTCTAAGAATCCTCGAAGAATTTTATCTTCCTGAATCCAAGATTCCGAGACTCCTTTAGAAGACCTGAAGACTAAATCCTCGACAATTTGAGTCATTTTCCTGGAATCATAGATCCTGCATATTTCAAGATTCTAAGAATCTTTCATGGAATACTCGAAGAATTTTCTCTTCCTGAATCCAAGATTCCGAGACTCCTTTAGGAGACCTGAAGACTAAATCCTCTAGAATTTGAATCATTTTCCTGGAGTCCTAGATCCTGCATATTTCAAGATTCTAAGAATCTTTCATAGAATACTCGAAGAATTTTCTCTTCCTGAAACCAAGATTTCGAGAAGACTCATTTTCCAGAATCCTAGATCCTGCATTTTTCAAGATTCCAAGAATCTCTTACAGAATCCTCGAAGAATTTGATTTTTCGGACTCCAGAAAACCTCGAATCACGCTCCTTCACTCAAACACTCCAAGCAAGGAGACACATCCTTCACTTTCCCTCCGTCGACCTCAAGAAATCCCGAGATTCTGAAGAGCGCTTGTTTCTGTTAGATCGACGAGGATCGGGATGGTTTCATCAATCTCACGGAGCTACGCAGCGCTCTGGACATCTGTGGCTTCAAGATGCCAGGCTACAAGGTTCGTCAGATGATCGAGGAGTACGACGACAAACAGAGATCGGCGCATAAAGGACGACTGTCCTTCGAGGAATTCGAGAAACTCTGTAAAGAATTGAAGGCCAACGAGTTAGGATCCACGTTCAAGATGGTGGTTTCGAAGAAGGAAAATTTGGAGACTTTGGGTGGCATTTCCGAGGCGTCTAGCGAGGGAACTACTCACTCGGTCAGACTTGAGGAACAGCTCGCCTTCAGCGACTGGATCAACACGAATTTATCACACGATCCTGACCTGAAACACCTGCTGCCCATCGACGCGGAAGGCAAGACCTTGTACGAGAAGGTTAAAGATGGAATTCTTCTTTGGTACGTATTTCTATTGTAAAATGAATTGTTTATCGATTTATTCACATGTCAGATCGTTTTATTGTATGTTAATGTACGATAGATCCTTTGCTTTTTTACGTGTTCGGTTTTAGATTCTAGATAGAGACCTAGATGATTGTATCGCGTTGAAAAAATTAGATAAGCATGATTCACTGTCTAAGCAATGTGAGAACGAAGTTTGTTTAACTTAATCGTTGAAAAGAATTATTTAAGTAATACTGCTAATTTAATTATTTTTATCAAAATTCAAACATAGGCTTCTTTCTGTATAAAAAAGAAGAAACTTGCGTTATACATATTAGGTGTAGAAATTAATTCGGTGCCTTTTTTCACAAAGCCTTCACGACTATATCAACTCAAAACAGCCACAATTCTTCAGAGACGGAATTCGGCAGTCACTCGATAAATGGAAGGTCATCCAAAATAATGGAGACTCTTTTTAACATTAAACTTGTGAGATCTTTTGTAAATAAGTATTAAAATTTGTGAGAAAAGGCACCGAATTAATTTGTACACCTAATACTTGGATATTTATGTCAAATTTAAAAAATTAAACAAGGACGATTATCGTATTCACTGTTTAAGAAGTATGAGCACAAAGTTAACTTAACTCAATCGTCGAAAAAAGTGATGAAAAAGAGGTTTAAATAACATTGTTGATTTAATCGTTTTCATAAAAATTCAAGTATTGTCTTCTTTCTGTATAGAAGAAAACATTAAAATTTTAAAAATTAAGTCACGATGATTAACATGTCCACTGTTCATGTGCTACTAACTTAATTTAATCGTAAAAAAAGAGACAAATATAATTATTTAAATAATTCTTTCAATTTTCATAAAAATTCAAACACAGACTTTTTTCCGCAAAAAAAAAGCGTGTTACATATACTTAGATATTGATATCAAATTTAAAAAATTAAGTTACAATGATCAACATGTTCACTGTCCAAGGAGTACAATCACAAAGTTAACTTAACTCAGTCGTCCAAAAAATGATAAAAAATTCTTTACATTTCATAAAAATTCAAACACAGACTTTTTTCCGTATCAAAACAGAAAAAAAAAAATCGCAATATACGACGAAAAAATGAAACAGTACGTCATAATTTTCTTCTACCGAACATTAACACTGCGAACGCATCGATCATCCTCCATCAAACTCCCATCTCACAATTATTAGGTTGTCCGTAAATAAATTGCGATTTCTGTACATGAGATTTAAAGACGTGCAGTTTTGCTTAGAATGAATTTATTTCATCGAAATTATTTCCATTAGATTCTATACACTTTTTCCAACGTTTTGCAAGAGTTCCTATTCCATTACAATAAAAATCAGGAGTTCTAGAATGAATAAATTCCACGAAGGTATTCACAGCATCCTCTTTATTGCGGAAGATTTTTTCTCGCAAAAAGTTATCGAAATGTTTAAAAAAATGGTAATCTGTAGGGGATAAGTCGGGGGAATAAGGAGGGTGTTTTAATGTTTCTTAACCCGATTCGTGTATCTTCCGAATCGTGAATTGTGATACGTGCGGGCGGGCGTTATCGCGCAGGAGTATTGGTCCCTTACGATTTACCAAACTTGCTTCTTTAACAAATAACCTTTTATGCGTTATAATCATTAGTTGTACTTTCACCGAATACACGATTGATATTACGGCCAGATTCCGCGGCTTTACGTCCTAATTTAAATTCGTATAAAAATATGGTACCAATTTGCTTCTTGTCCATTGTTACGTTTCTAAGTTGTACTCGGAACAAACGACGATAGAGCGACGTCTACGCGTTCAAATGGTATATTACTTAATAAACATAAATTAAAAATATATAGTATAGAAAAGGCCAGAAAACCGCAGTTCATTTCCGGACAACCTAATACTAATACTAATACTCAACCAAACGATACTTCTTCAAACATTTCAGCAAAATAATCAACCACTCCTGCCCGGACACGATCGACGAACGGACAATAAACAAGAAGAACCTGACGTTGTACAAGAAGCACGAGAACCTCACTCTAGCCCTATCCTCCGCCCAGGCGATCGGTTGCAACATCGTGAACATCGACGCTCACGATCTAATCAAAGGCTCTCCCCACTTGGTCCTAGGTCTTCTCTGGCAAATTATCCGAATCGGTCTTTTCAATCAAATCACGCTGGAGAATTGTCCAGGCTTGGCTACCCTACTTCAAGACGGCGAACGCATCGAGGACCTATTGAAACTCTCCCCCGAATCGATCCTACTCAGATGGGTGAATCATCATCTGGAGAACGCCGGTATAGCAAGGAGATGCCACAATTTCCAATCGGACATCACCGATTCCGAGATCTACACGTACCTTATCAAGCAAATCGCTCCGCACACCGCCGGCGTTACTTTGGAGGCGCTAATGGAACCGAATCACACATCTCGAGCGGAGATTATGCTGCAACAGGCGGCTAAATTAGGCTGCCGCAGCTTCGTAACACCCAGCGACGTTGTCAACGGCATCTACAAGCTGAATCTTGCCTTCGTTGCTAATATGTTCAACAATTATCCGGGATTGGACAAGCCTGAGAGCAACATCGAGGGATTGGAGTCGTTGGAGGAGACCAGGGAGGAGAAGACTTATCGCAATTGGATGAACTCTATGGGTGTGGTTCCGTACGTGAATTGGTTGTACTCGGATTTGGCCGATGGTTTGGTCATCTTTCAACTGTACGATATTATCAGGCCAGGAACTGTAAACTGGAGTCGCGTGCATAAGAAATTCACCAAGTTGAGGAAGTTCATGGAGAAGTTGGAGAATTGTAATTACGCCGTGGAGCTTGGGAAAACGATGATGAACTTCTCGTTGGTGGGAATAGCCGGACAGGATATCAACGATGGAAACGCCACGTTGACGTTGGCGTTGATCTGGCAGTTGATGAGATCTTACACTTTGTCGATTTTGACGTCGTTGGCTGGCACACAGGGTAGCACGCTGGTGGAGAAGGAGATCGTGCAGTGGGTGAATTCGAAGTTGCACGCTGCCGGGAAGACGAGCAGTATTAAGGGTTTCCAGGATTCGTCGATATCGGATGGTAAGGTGGTGATCGATGTTATCGACGCTATCAAACCGGGGTCAGTGAACTACGACCTTGTGAAGGAGGGAGGAACCGAGGAGGTGAGAATGTTGAATTTTAGAGTGAAATTTAGAGTTGGGGTGGTTTGGTGAGTTACGATTTCGTAGAATGTCTCGGTTGAACTCTTTAACGGAGCCTTTTTGGGTTTGAGGGTTTGGGACGTTCGATGGGTGGGAATTGGAAATTGCTGGGAATGGTATTTTGTGGATTTAGTGGTGGATTTAGATGAAAGTAGGGAGTTTTGAGTATTTGTTTGTGTTGGTTTTGTGCAAGATTTTGATGGTATTTTGGGTTTTAAATATTGGAAGTATGTTTTGGAGGATTTTAATGGGAATTGTAATATTTGAAAGGTTCAAGTTTGGGGGAATAATGTAAAATATTAGACTTCATTTATTTTTGAAGGTATAGTTTGTTATACTCATAGCAATTTTATAGTAAAATTAATATTAACTTTTAATTTCACTGGTGTAAGTAAAGCACATATTTCAGCTTTTAACATAATCAATTACTGAACAGGTAATTGTATTTAACCCTTTGAATATTAGTTCCTATGTATGTCACACAGTGTTTCGATCAGTGGATAAAAATTAGAAATTCAAAGTGTAAGATCTAGAAATTTTTTTGGCCTTAAAATGATCGTTGTAAAGGGGAGACTTACCTGTAGCAAGTCGTTTTAAAACGAAACAAATTTTTTGAACTCCGTAGAATCGTTCGAATTTGAAAAATTGAAAAAAAAAAGCAACTTCAGTTTTTCACTCTGTTTTGTAATATACAAAAGGTCTTTGAAAAAATTCAGTTAAGGGGTGTGAAAATAGAGGCTTTACCCTTTAAAATGAGTCCAAGTAGATTATTTTCCGACTTTTTTTCACAAAGTTACAGCAGTTGAAAAATCGTCAACTTTTCGGTCAAAATTTAGGGATCCTTTAATTTTCTAAAAAAATTAATAAACGCATTAAAATTCTGAAAATGAATGTTCATTGAAATTATTAAAAATTAGATAAGAAAAATAAAAACATATTACATTTCCACATTATTCACAGCCATTTAATCAGTCACAAATAATTTAACTCATAAATAAACTGAAAATTATTTTCCCACATTCTACTAAGCACTCAAAGGGTTAAATTTAAAAAACTCCAAGAAAAAAAGACATAATTTGCTACAATACTCATTATTTAACAAACTTAAAAAAAAAAAAGAAAAAATGCGAATCGAAACATACGAAGAGTTTCCACATCACACAAGCAATATACACAGCTTTCGCAAAATAAACAAGTTAGCCACTCTAGCGATTTTCCGTAACCAAATGTTACTTAGGATTTATAAAAAAGCCAAAATTTAAAATATCCATCATGTTCACACCAAACTGCACATCAACCCGCAAACTCTTCCCAAAAAATCAGCACCGTCGATCACACAAACCAAAACAGTAAATGAACCCATACTCAAAAACCTCAAGACGAAAAAAAAAAAATCTACAATTTGGAAAAAAATGTTCACCGAAGGCAATCATCGAGATCGTAATTTCCACCGTCGACCTATCCGCGTGACTAATCCCGTTCAACTCGGCGCTTCTCTTATTTCCAGGCGAACCTGGACAATGCGAAGTACGCGATATCCTTGGCCCGAAAATGCGGCGCGCGCGTGTACGCGCTACCGGAGGACATAACCGAGGTGAAGCCGAAGATGGTGATGACTGTGTTCGCCTGCCTGATGGCGATGGACTACATCCCCAATATGGATTCCGTGAAGCAGAACAACGTGCAGAACAACAGTCAATAATGTCGCGCCTCTTGCGACTTGTCCGCGCTGTGCACGGGAGGAACTGTGTCGACTGAGATCGTGGTCTCCTCAGGCATACCGTGATCTCTTTTACGAAAGCGTAATAATTTGTATATACACAAACGTAGGTTAGGGTAGCTTGTTTTCCAAAACGAGAGCGAGTGAGAGAGAGAGAGAGTGCGTGAAATAGAGAAGAAAAAGAAGAAAACAAAGTAGAAGAAATATGAAAAGAAGAAGAAGAAGAAATCGAAACTGTATGAGAAGGAGAAGAGAATATCGACGAATAGGGATTTACGATTTAATGATACGGTGTTTTTTTTTTCTGTGCGTTGTCTGTTCCTTTCGTTTAGAGATTCCGTCTGATCGGAGGGTGTGATTTTTGTTCAACCGATGAATTTTTTTCTGCAAATTTTTTACCCAATCGTGGAGAGAATAGAGGACAAATTCCCTTTTGCGTAGACGTAGCTAACGAGCTTTAACGTAAGGATGTGTCTCTATCTGAGAGGATTTTACGATTGTTAATCTCGAGAGTATTGTTAAATTGTGTGTCCAACTCTCCATCGACACTCGCTACTTGTACACACTGATAAATTTCACTGTGGAGAGTAACTCGTGACAGTTTCACTCTGAAGTAGACAGATACCCAGAGAATTATCGAGAGATAATCGAATGATCGTAACGATCAGCAAATCTTCGAGTTGTTCGTGTAAAGAGAAAACAAAAGAATGATAGTTTTAATGAAACGATCGCTCGTTATCGATCGCTGGTTGGACACCAATGTGTATCGTGTGACGATACGAGAGAGCTCTCCTTCTCCGATGTTTCCATTCAACCATATCCTTGTCCCGCCTCTGCGTACTCGTAAACGTGACCAGTTTAGATTGTATAGATTGATTTTCTAACAATTCGTCTGTCTCTCTGTCAAGGGTATCGATCGCGTGAAAGAAAGAATTATAGGTCGATACGAAGATCGCGAACCTAAACTAATAACCGCGAGCAGTAACGAAATATCCCGGAAATTTTAGGAACCCGGAAGGTAAAACAGAACGAAATAATTCGCGTATACCGGATATACGTGGTTTTCAGATTGTCGATTATATATATATATATACATACATACATATATATATACTATATTTAAATTTTTAAATGTCTTCGATCAATTCAATCGATAACGAAATTTATAGGAAACGGATAAGAATTTCACGAATGCGTTTAACTAAGATTTCATAAAAAAGAAAAAAAAAAGAAGAAAACAAAAATAGAAAAATATCGCTTTGTGAAACATATACTACGAATTATTTCGAATCATTCGACTTGAAATCGATATTTTGGAATAAAGAAGAGAAGATAAGCTTCACGATCTTTCGTATCGTTTATCAGACGAACATTTTTCCGATACGATTTCATTTTACCTTGTAATCGAACGATACGTTTCTTTCTTTTTTTTTTTTTTTTTAATAGAATTCAACAAGTAACATTTCGATACATTTTATATATCACGTTCGAAGAGAAAAGTGTTCGAGAGAAAGACGAGAGAAACGCAGGAATTGGAAAGAATCTTACCAAACCTTTCCTCTTCGTGCCGCGTACCCGATCGTTTCTCGACGATCATCACGATCGAAACGAGTAATTCCAATAATTGTAATACCGTCGAATACGAAACGAACGCACAAGGATCATTGTAATCGTGCCATTTATCAAATATCGAGACCGCCGTCGCGATTGGACGTTTGCTGCAATATATATCACCGACGATCGGTTCGATCGAACGGAACGTACTTACGCGTGTTCCAAACGATTACGAAACGCGTGAAAAACGAGAACGCGTTGTTGCTTGCTGCCAGTCGCTCGTCTTTTTTCATCTTTTTTAAAAAAACCATACAAAAATTGCATCTCAGAGCGAGGAAGAACAACGCCGATTTCTCTTGATCGCGCGCGCGCTTTTTTTCAAGCCAAAAGTTTGTTCGCGAAACGAATTCGAAACGAAAGTTTCAGCTGAGAAAGAGAAACGTCTTCTGGCGAGCGACAATTCTGATGATCGACTGAATCTACGTTGTACGTGTTTGTT